AAGTTAAGGTCCAGGGTCTCCCCTGGACAGAAAGACTTGCATGAGATACTCTGCATCTTAACGCTGGGACATGAAGAGCTATATCTTCAGGAAAGTGGAAAACAGAACTAAGCATGTTTTCCACCCCAGTTCTAGTGAACTGTAGGGAAGGGTGCTTTGACAATGAGTATACGGAAAGAAAAATAAGGAGAGAAATTAATCCTTGAGAAGTAAGGGCCACAGAGAAGCTCTTATAAATGTGGCAGCCATAGTATACATAATGGGAATCCCAAACTTTCCCTTTTCTTAAGGATTGTGAACTGATCCTTAAGAAAAGGATTAAGGATGTCCTAACAAACAGCATCCTCAAGTGCCTGATAGTCACAAACCCAAATCCTCTGTGGAGGAAGGCATGTTTCTCCCAGGTCTTAGAGAATCCCACAAATAACTTTTCCAGGACAATGAGCAGACAAAGCCAAAAATAAATGTATTACTTTTCTGTCACCATGGTAATGTAACAAATTCTTGTGAATTGGTGGCTTAAACAAATAAATTCATCATCTTACAGTTATGTGGGTTGGAAGCTTGACCAGGGCTCACTGGGCTAAAAAATCAAGGTGTAGGCAGGGTGCACTCCCCTGGGGAGAATCCACACCCTTGCCTTTTCCGGTTTTTAAAGGCTTTGATGTGAGAAGCTGTCAGCCTCCCTAGTTGATCTTATCAGAATCCTGCTATTTATCTCTCAGTTATCTAGTCCACTGAGGATGTTTTCTAACTCCACACCCTTTCCCAGAGTACGTGACTTTTAAATTTCCTGAGATTCGATAAGCAAAGGGATCAAGAAAAGTTAGCCAAGGCTGGAACTATTTCTACCCCTGCTTTGAGTTACTAAGTTAATATGTTTGTGCAGCCACTAGCCTTTCTAGGCTCTTTTTATAACCCCAAGCCCTTGATTAGTTCACAATCCTTTCCACACTAAATTATTTGACATACCGTTACAACTTGCATATGATATTTTTTCAAAGCCAATGGCATCCCAAAGAGAGAGACAGGGAGAAAAAGCATTCAGGATGGCAGTGAGAAAATAGTGTTCTTTTTTTCGTTCTGAGCATTTAAGCTTTCAAAATTACAAAGCAAGGTGATATTTTAAAGTTATTGTACTGGTTCATGGTTTCCTCCAAGGAAATGAAAGCAGAAAGCTGTTTTGCTCTTTCAAATATGAGTCATGGTGTTTATTAGCTGCGTTCAAACTCTTGTTAAGCTGACCAAATATTGAATCTCCCTTAGTGGCAACTAACTCATTCACAAAGTAATATATATAAAGCAAATATTATGTATGTTCAAGTTTTCAGGAAAAATAAGGGCATGGGGCACATGGGAGAAAATATTAGTTTAGCAAGTTTTAATGTACAAAATCACCACTAACAGGGTTTGTTCTTATTGATGACATTGAAAAGAATGAGAATTAACATTTTGAGCCACTTGTTTTGTGCCAAGCACCATTCTAAGTCCTTTACTTTGTGCACTACTCACAATAATCCAAAGATTTCAGGTGAGAATTATTGTATCTCCAATTTACAGAGGATGAAATTGGCACAAAAAGGAACTTAACTTACGTAAAGATGGTATTTGATCCCAGTCAGACTAACTAACCACAGGGCCCATATTTTTCTACCACCAGAAAGAAGAAGGGCCAACACTCTGGAATCAGACAGACTGGTTTCAAACCTAAGTACTATCATTAACTGTGTAAGCTTCTTGTATGCAAATTATTTGTCCTTTCTTTCTTGATTTTTTACTTTATAAAATAGAACTAATGAGAATACTTCTGTCACTGTAATGTACATGAGGTTAATCAGAATTGATTTCAGTTAATATTATAAAATATCTTTCTTTTGTAAAACTATCATTTACAAAAGACTTTGATATACTTTCCCAGTTCATCCTCACTAATTCTGTGACATTGTTAAGGTAGGTTTTTTTTTACTCGTTTCATAGATGAGACCCAAAGAAACCAACCAACTTGTCCCATGTCACACACATAAGGAACTAGTTCTGCTGATTTCAATGTCACTAATAATTCTACGGTATTATGCTTTCTCTCCTGGAAACCATGGCATCTCCTATGTAGCTCCCTTCAGAAATACATGGCAATGCAAGCCAAAAGCTATATTAATCTCAGAAATGAATACTGTAGAGGAGAAATGCAGTTAAGAGATCCACTTTTCAGTTTTTTAAGACAACTACACAAATTGCATGAACATTTATGTAAAAAATATTTAGTAGGTAAAATATGTTACTGAGTGAGTGAAAAGGCATATCATGAAACACCATTATCAAATAAGCTTACTTAAATGTTGAGTAATGAAATTATGGGTAATTTAATCATTTTTCTTTATTTTTGTTGATATCTGTTTGTTTCCCCATTTTTTCATGATGATATGTGTAGTTCATCTAATGTACAAAGGATGAGGAGTTGAAAAACTAATGTTTAGGAAGGGATATACAGTATAATATATTAATAGCAATGCTTTTAGACATAGTGTTTACCTACACTTTTCTTCTACTTTATGTTTTAGAAAAAAATAATGCTACTGGCTTTGGTGAGCCTTATAACATATGCCTTTCTACAACTTCTCAAAAGACTTTTTCATGGGAGTCACTTTGTGGAAAGGAGTATATTTGGCTCCCTTGCAATTTTATTTCACTCAGAATCAGCACCTTCTCTAAAGGGAAGAAGAATTTTTGGCAGTCAACTCTGGCTTTACCATTTTTGTTCTAGATGCTTGGGACAGAGAAAGAAAGAAAATAAAGAGACATAACATACAAAATTTCTAAAGAATCTTCCCAAACAGGAAAAAGTACCCAGAGACCTCCTATCTACATGTTTTTTCTCTCTCACCTTAGGCCCCTGCTTACCACTAGGACAAGAATAAATTTTCACTAAAAGAGACTTTGAATTATTATTCTTTGAACACCTATCTTTTATTTACTTCTGTTTCTTTTTAACAACCTATTTCAAATGTTCATATCTTTTATAGACTATAAGCCATGCCCTGCCCAGGTGGCTCAGTTGGTTGGAACATCATTCCCTCTGTGCATCAAAAGGTTGCAGGTTCTATTTTGGTCATGGCACACAGCTTGGGTTATGAGTTCAGTCCCCAGTTGGGGTGTGTACAGGAGGAGACCGATATTCACTTTCTCTCTCAGATCAGTGAATAGACCCTTGAGTGAGGATAAAAAAATACATATATAAGCCATTTATCTATCAATATATATACTTTAAACCATCTTAATAAAAAGAGCTACTTTTTGAAAAATGATCATTTAACTGCCCCAAAAGAAGAAAAGAATCCAGAATCAAAAGAATTATATTCTGTATTAAATAATTATTCCTCCACGTTATACCCAAATGAATGATGAAAACAAAAAGAAAACTAAGATCTATCCGAGGACCCAGAATTGTTGTATACATTAGCCTTAGATTTAGCTCCCAATAACAGAAACCCAAATAACAAGAGCTTATGCAAAATATTTAGGTTTTTTCCTCACATGTAAATTTGTAGAAATAGACAGTCCACAGGAAGGCAGTTCTAAGATGCCATCAGGGACTCAGGCTCTCTGGGCTTTTTGATAAACCCGTTTTAGTACTCACTTTCCTTCTCACAGTCACCTTATCATCTGAAGATAGCAGCTGCAGCCCTGACAGCAAAAGCTTTTGACTGAACAGAAGTATGTCACATGACCCCCATGTGCAAGGTAGGCTCTGTGACATTTAATTTTTCAGACCAGCACCTTACAACCAGAATAGAACTGAGGTTGTATTAGTTAAGAAATAATTGGATACTGCAGCCCCACACATACTGGCCATAAAATAAGGAAAGAAATATAGTGACGAAATCTTAGAAACAGCCCCCTTTCTTAAAGCTACCTTTTTAGGATGCTGATATTGAAAGAAATCTTTATATCCAAATAAACAGAGAGATGCATTTAGTGGACAAAAGAGTCTTGAAAGATAAAAATGTTAGTAAGAACAACAACAAAAAAAATGAGACGCGATAAAGCCTAAGACTTTATCGAAACTTACGAATGTATGTGGAAAAAAGAAACATAAATTTGTTTCCCCGATCCTCAACAAACAGAAGCAACTCATGTGATACTTTTAAAAACTGAGTGCTTGGAGAAAATGACAAGAGAAATATTTTAATATTGCCAGGATCAGGCTTATGTAAGTGTTACTCCAAAAACATAGGTAGAAAAATATATACCCAAAGAGAGTCTCTGTTGGTCAGAGACTCTGACCATCATATCATTCATGCGATGAGAGTAATTCACTCTCATCATATGAATTAGTATGTGGGGAAACCCTCCTTTTGGGGGGATACTAAATTACCAAACCCAGTTCTGGCTCTGATTTTATGATTTCCTCTCAGATGTTTCTCAATGGCTCATATCCTCTGGAAAAGTAGATCCAACCATTTACATAGAAATCACACTTTCTCTTTTTTACTCCTTCTCTGTACTATTGACCTCAGTGTGAAGGTCCAATTCCCTCCAGTAAGTTTATGGGGTCCCTCTTCAATCTTCCTGTTACAAAAGAGCTTAATTTAAAAACTACTAGGAGAGCTGAGAGGAACGAGGTATAAATGGTGCAAATAGTGGGTCACTTTTATTGCCAGAAAGAAAACTATCCTAGAAAATGGAGGAAAAAAATTGTTCTTTCAGATAAGAGGATACGATACAATAATGAGAACTGAAATCTCCAAGTCAGACAAAAAAAAAAAAAAAAGGAAATCATGATGTAGATAAAGTTGTTAAGAGGGAAAAGAAAGAGAAATAGTGCAGTTCAGAGAGAAGAGCTTAACAAAGCCTCTTTTCTTTGCCCTGGCTGGTCCCACCTTCCGCTTAACAGAGGGGCATGCCCACTTGTGGGAGAGGGCAGAGGCCATGAAGAGGGAAGAATCACAGCAGAAAAGGCTTTTACACCTTCCCTGCAGGAGATGAGAAAGAACCCTCCCTGAGAGGTTCTTTCTCCCTGAAATGAGAAATTTCAGCTTGTCTTGACTGACCTCCATTTCCTCTGCTCAGTTGCCAGGTAAGCTTTGTGGATAAGGTGGAAGAGCAAGAAGTAGAAACTGTCAAGAAAGAAAGCAATGGGGGCGAATCTGCCCCTCCCTACAGTTCCTGGCCATTTTCAGGGAAGCCTGGAGGCCTCAAGCTTGGGAAGGGCTAGACAGAGCTTAAGGGCAACATTGGGGTTAAAGTTTTCCACAGCTGACCTTGCCAAAGAAGAAACAGTCATTGTGGACAAACTAAGTGATACCTCAGGCAGTACTATCAGAGCTGATCTCCTAAAGATCACTCCGCAGTCCAGAATTGTTCTATATTCTCAGGATCTCTACCCCAAGGCCATTGTATCTCCCGGGCTGAGATCTACTCCAGAGTCTAAAATCTTTTCACATACTAGAATAGAGAGGCTAGCTCAAGGGTAACAGGGCATGCTATTACACAAGTCAGGAACTGCAGTGTGGGCTCAAGATACAGCTTTCCAAAAATTCAATAGCTGTGGAAATAGAATAATGTGGCACTGCAGTGTATTGGGTGGCATACACAATGAGACTAATAGTTTTGCAAAGTCGAGTCACCCAGATGACAAATTCCCCCAGCCCTTCTCCTCAGGTCTCCTCTGAACTTTTCACTGAAGTCTGAGGCCAATATAACTGTGATGCTTCAGCAACTGAAGGCATAGGACTTGAAGAAAGGCAGCTCAGTGCTTTCAGAGCCAGTTTTATGTGACCACCCAGGCAGTTTTTTCCTCATGACAAACTCAAAGGAAAGAGAAAAGCACCCTGTCTTTTAATACCAAGTCCTCCTTGGCCCACAGGCATGAATTATTGAATAATCCCCAATCCTGCCATGAGAACAATGCCCTTCACTCTGGTTAACTGTCCTCTGTCTCCCCCAGAGTACCAGTCTGCTCTCCTGACTCCTTCTATCTTTTCAGGGACCTGGATCGCAGACCTGACTGATCACTGTTCGTTTCATACTTGGAGGATTCGAGGCCTAACCAATGGAAAGGAGCTAGTCAGCTGTGAGAAAAGGTCAGTGGGACCTCCTACCTCTGTACTGTGTTCTGACCACAAAAGTATCGTGGCTTTGTGTTTTCCTTTCACTGCTTTTTTTGACTTTATTCTCCCACTCACTTTCTCTACTTTCTTTATTTTTCACCTGAACTAACTTTGGAGTCTCTACAACCTCAACATAAACTCAACAGTAGAATTCACTTAAAATGTTTCTTTCGTCCTGCCTGAGGACTTTTGTAATGGGAAGGCCACCAAACTTGGAGGCAGAAGACCTGGATCATAGTCATAACTCTACTGCTTTTACTTCTGTGACCTCAAGCAAGTCACTTAACTTCTTTGGCATTCAATTGCCTCCTGAGTAAAATGAAGATAATATTGGGCCCATGATATAACATAGCTAAGGATGAAGTAAGAGTGTATATTCAGGTCTTATTATGTTTATACCATTACCATTTGTTTCTCCTCCAATCTACTTTGTAATAAGTAAATTTTCTGCCTAGTCTTGGAGGTAGCCCATTGATAGCTCACATCTCCCCTCCAAAGAAGTTAGAGATCAGAGCTAATCATCCCCAGCAGGAGAATTGGGCTGTGTCATCCACCAGTTTCTCTACTGAGGTTTCTTACACATTGCAGGCTCTTCATGCTGGTCTGTCTCTGTTTCTGTCATCACTGGCTTTCTGTCTGCAGGGAGGCATATCTGAGTGGGTACAACTTGAGTTCCCTGCTTGGACAAATGTCTCCTTTATATGACAATCACAGAGCTGTTTCTTCAATATGTTCCACAACATATTGTGTGTTATGAGTATCAGAGGCCCCAGGCCTGGGATTGTTGGATCTGTAGGATTTGACACTCTCTTTCCCCTCTTTCCCTAGAAGCAGAACCAAGGATGGAAAGACCTCTGTTCTCCTTCACTCTCCTCTCTGTCTTACTGCTGTCGTTGATGAGCCTCAGCTGGATGAGTTGGGCATGGACTGCTCCCAACTGCAGCATAGGAGACAGCTTCCTATTGCCTAACATCTCCTACTACATCCCATTCTGTCCCTTAGCCCCAGAACTGCACCTTTTTGCATCATGCTTCAATATTAAAAACCTGGTTCAGACACTAAGAGCAGTGCCCCGGGATATAGAGGCACTATGTCTCCATGGTACAGTTTCCATCCTGCCTGCTGATGCTTTCAGACACTGCCCTACACTGCAGCTTCTGAGGCTGCAGCTGGGCACCATCAGGGTTACATCTGGGACATTTCAAGGATTGGACCAGCTGCAGCACCTTTCCTTTGAGCATCACATTCCCTGTTGCCTCAATCTGTTTCTCCCTCCAGATGCACTAGAGCCTCTCACATCCCTCAACACCCTTTCCTTCCATGGCTACTGCCTAAATAATAGTCAAAATGTCCAGTTGCCCATCAGCCTTAGTCATCTAACCATGAAGCACAGCTGTCTGACAGAGCGTCAGGAATTGCAAGGGCTCTTCCCAAACCTTGTCCCTGGCTCCTCTCCTACAGCCAACCCTAGGCCACAGACCCCCTTTCTAGAGGTGCTGGATCTGTCTGCAAACCTGCAGCTCAGCAGGGTAGGTAGCCAAGCTCTGCATGGCCTCCAGCTCCACTCCCTGAAATTAGATGACACCCCACTAAGTGCATCAGACCTCCCAGGCTCAGGGCTGCTCCACTTGGACTCCCTCTACCTTGTGGGGACAGGTGTAGAAAAACTGCCTGGGAACGTGACAGGTTACTTTGGGCTTCGTGCACTTGACCTTGGGAGAAACCAAATCCAGAACCTAGAGGCTGGAGATCTCCTAAGCTGCCACTCCCTGGAACTCCTCAGCCTTCATGCCAATGGCCTTCAGTTAATTCCATCCAGTTTCCTGAGTGCCCTGCCCCAGCTTCAGAAGCTCAATTTATCAGTGAATAAGCTAGGTCCAACCTTGGTGCTCCCAGAAGGGCTGGTCAGCTCAAGTCTGAGGGTGCTAGATCTGTCCCACAATGAGCTCTGCATTCTGCCCTGCAAGGCCTTCTCTTCTCTTCCTCAGCTACAGGAGCTCAGGCTGAGTGGTAACAATATTTCCAACTTATCCAGTGAGAGCCTGGAAGGACTGAGGTGGCTTAAGACCCTAGACCTCAGTTGGAACCAAATTAAGACACTGAATCCAGGCTGTTTCTCCTCTCTTCCTGCCCTTACTTCGCTGAACCTCCTGGGCACCCATTTAGAGCATTTCCCAGGCAGATATCTCCAGGGTTCCCAGAAGCTGAGCCACCTACAGCTGGGTTCTTCTGAGATGCTGGAGATCTATCCTCCCTGGCCTTCAGCACTGCTCAGCTTGGAATTATGGGCAGCTAGTTCTGTAACACTTAGGGTCCCCCGTGGAGAACCCTTCTTGTTCCTGGAGAACCTTACCATACAAACTAACTATGTGTTGCTGAGTCCATTCAACACCACAGTCCATTTTCCTTCCCTGCATCACCTTACCTTGCGAGGCTGCAGCCACGACACTTTCTCTGGCCGTCCACCCCAGGGAATCTTCTCACAGCTTTCTCTCCTGGAGCACTTGCACTTCTGGTCTGATCACCAGGGTGCAGAAGGTCTGCATCTATGGGGGATACCCAGGCTGCGAGTGCTGGAGCTGGGGAACTTGGATTTCCTCTACAACCCAAGATCAGTGCAGCTGGAGATGCTACTGAAGGATCTGCCTCAGTTACAGGTGCTGGCGTTGAGTAACCTAAACCTCAGGAACCTCTCCATCTCCAGCTTCAGAGGTTTGGACCCCCTTCAGCTGCTGCTACTCAACTCTGAATGGGCCCTGGGGCTGGACAGCAGCCTCCAGGAACTAATCCCCCAGATGCCTCAATATGTTTATTTTTTCAGATATCACCTTCACCTGCCACTGTGAAAGCTCTTGGGTGGGGCCTTGGGCAACAGGGGCCCCAAACACCTTTGTGTATGGACTAGAGAAATCCATCTGCAAGGCCAACGCCTCTGATTACTCCCAGACGCCGTTGCTGTCCTTCCTTTCTGGTCACTGCCCACATGATCTTGAGTTTCAGAGCTTTCTAACCAGCTTCACTCTTGTGCTCCTGCTCATGTTCCTGGCACTGCTTGGTTGTCCCAAATGGCTCTGGCTTCACCACCTCCGGACCCTATTTCATGCCTGGTGGTGGAAACTGTGTGGGCAACATCCCAGAAACCAATTCCACTATGATGTCTTTGTATCCTATTGTGAGCAGGACCAAGCCTGGGTGCTGGAAGAGCTGGTTCCTGCCCTTGAAAAGCCTCTTCCAGAGGGCGAGGGTTTGAGGTTATGCCTGCCTGAGAGGGACTTTGGGGTTGAGCAGGACAGGATGGATGTTACCGCTGCCAGCATGGAGAGCAGCAGAGCCACCCTCTGTGTGCTCAGCTGCCAGGCCCTGGGAAGTTTCTGGTGTAATCTGGAGCTAAGGCTGGCCACCCACAACTTGGTGGCCAGGCCTGGGACTGCTTGCCTTCTGCTGCTGTTTTTGGAACCCATTGATCGGCGGCAGCTGCACAGCTACCACTGCCTTGGCCGGTGGCTGAAGAAAGAGGACTACTTTGATTTGTCCCAAGGAAGGGTTGACTGGAATGCCTTCTACAAACAACTCCGGAAAAGGCTAAAGACAGCTGGGAGACAGGGAGAGGACTAGCGGCTATGAAAGGGAAATTCAGCCCGGCTAGAAAGACTCCCAGCCTGGGCCAGACGCCATCACGTCACTGGAGGGCAGGCTCAGAAAGGCAGCACTCTTCAGGCAATGATCCTCAGTTCAGGCTCACTTTCCACCCTAAAAGTGATACATGAAGAAGCCAAATCCCAAAGGGATAACATATTAGAAAGCACTTAGAAACAAGATATTCATTCAAAAAACAGTTCCGATACCCGCTAGTCCTGTCAACACAAGGCAACCCCTGTAAAAGAATACACAAAAATGTTTTTCAGAATCACATCTGCATTTTCATAATAAATTCATTCTGCTTGATGAAAGTAATGTATTTACTTGTTTGTTTTAAAAAAAATTATCCTAGTGGACTAAGGCAAAAATCAATGAGGCATTTGTCAGCATGTTGAAGCTAAATTAAAACCATGTTTGCAATTCACCAAAAATCCAAAAATTCAGTGAGCTTTCCTAACTTAAAAGGCTCTCACAATAACAGTATTACAGGGGGAGGATAATAGTTGTGATCCTATATTATACGTGGGGAATCTGAGCACATAAATCTGGCACCACTATTACATCATAAAGTTTACATTTGGCCCCAGTTCCTCCGGGACGCAATCCAGTACTCTGTGTTCTCCACTCCGTCACTCTATCTGTAACCAATGTCAGTTTACCTTGCTACCAAGTTTAAATAGGAAAACATGTGGCAAATCTATCTGTCAAAGCAATATCACTGAATAAAATGTGTATGTGCTACTGCCACCTTGTGATCATATCTTTTTTCCTTGTTCATCTGGGAAATCCCGGAAAACCCCTATACAATCTTTGGGCAAACTAAGGAACCACTCGAATTCTGGCTCAGTGAGCGAAAGAGTCCCACACATTTTTTTCAGGAAGAAGTGCCAATTTCTTCAGTTAATAGAGTGAGATTATCTGTATTCCTGTGGCATAACTCAGATTTTGCTGACTAAGCCACATTGCAGAAGTCCTTCCCACAACCCAAACTTTGTCTGCTGTCCACTCATGACCCTTGGAAAATGTGATTTGTTTTTATCAGTGTTGACAAAAACCTCAAGTTCTCATTAACCTTAATATTTCCCATGACACTTTTTTATTTCATCGAGGTTACCTAGTTTTTTTCTTTTCTTGACACATTTTAGATACACACCACGGAATTTTAGGATTGAGAGAAATTTGCTTCCAATGCTTAAATTCCTTCTACCACTTTCCCAGCCTGTATCTGACAAAAGCCATGATCTCAAGTAGTCTTCTGAAGCAGCTTGTTCCAACACTAGATATTGTAATAAAGTTACTCTTCATATTGAATTATAATAAATTTCCTTATAAGTTTTAACTATTACTTGTAATTCTGAACTTTTAGGATTCAGTAAGACAAATTGTGTTGCTCTTAAATGATCACCCTTACTTTGTTCCAATAGTCTTTTGTTCACCAATTTAAATGTCCCAGTTTCTTCCACTGTTGCTCATTTCCCCTGCCCCTCAGCCCCTCTAATTGCTTCCCTCCTCATGTTCTGCAGTTTGCCCATGTACTGCTTACACCATGGGACCCAGAGCTCAGGAAGCGCCATAAATCTGATCTCTGTAGAACCAAACAGGATTAGATTATTCTCTCCATTTATACATTCTGAATTCATATCATTAGATGAGGCAAAATGTTGATTTAAATATTTAACTTGCCTATATAATTCCATGTATATGTGGAATCTAATGAACAAAATAAGCTAATGAACAAAACAGAGACTTTCGCCAAGATGGAGGCATAGGTGGAAACGCCGTGCTTTCTCCCACAACCAAGTTGAGAGACAACAAAATATTAGCAACAGCCAGAACACAGAAAATTGAACTTTTCAGAGGTCTGGTAACAATGAATTCTTCAGCCTGACCAGTAAGAGGGGTGAAGCCAGCAGCTGGCGGAGCGGGGTTGCACAGGAAAACTGGGTCAGACAGACTCAGGCGCATGGATCCCAGGTGTGGGGTTGCAACGGGCAGACCCAGCAAGGGTGCAGGGTGGCGGGTTGACTGTGGTCCCGCATTCATGAACAGATAGACCAGCGAGGGAGTGGGCAGTGAGATGATGGGACTGAGCAGGCCCCAACTGCGAGAATGGGGGCTGCCATTTCTCTGCTCTGACCCCGCACCCACATACAGCTTCACAACTCAGCGACCTCAGCGGCCCTGCCCTGGTGAACATCTAAGGCTCCACTCCTCATAATTAATGGGTGTGAAGAGACCAAAAATGGCTCAAGAAGATCTCAAAGCCCCAGAGCCCATAAATCTAAGCAATGAAGAAATAGCAAAACTTTCAGATGCACAGTTCAAAACACTGGTGATCAGGATGCTCACAGAACTGGTTGATTATAGTCTCAAATTAGAGGAACATATGAAGACTAAGCTAATTGAAATGAAGGAAATTGCACAGGAAACCAACAGTGATGAAGAGGAAACTGGGACTCAAATCAAGGGAGTGAACCAGAAGGAAGAAAATAATGGCCAAACAGGAAAATATGAAGAAACAAGAATTCAAAAAAATGAGGAGACTTAGGAACCTCCAGGACATCTTTAAACGCTCCAACATCCGAATTATAGGGGTACCAGAAGGAGAAGAGGAACAGCCACCAGTGAAAAACTTAATTGAACAAATAATAAAAGAGAACTTCCCCAATCTGGCAAAGGAAATAGACTTCCAGGAAATCCAGGAAACTCAGAGAGTCCCAAAGAAGTTGGACCCAAGGAGGAACACACCAACGCACATCATCATTACATTAGCCAAGATGAAAATGAAGGAGAGAATCCTAGAAGCAGCAAGAGATAAGGGGACAGCCACCTACAAATGAGTTCCCATCAGACTGTCAGCGGATTTCTCAAAAGAGACCCTACAGGCAAGAAGGGGCTGGAAAGAGGTATTCCAAGTCATGAAATCCAAAGACCTACAACCAAGATTACTCTATCCAGCAAAACTTTCAATTAGAATGGAAGGACAGATAAAGTGCTTCTCAGATAAGATCAAATTCAAGGAGTTCATCATCACTAAGCCCTTATTACATGAAATGTTAAAGGGACTTACCTAAGAAAAAGAAGATGAAAAAGATGAACAGTGAAAGAACAGCAAACTCACAGTTATTAACAACCACACCTAAAACAAAAGCAAACTAAGAGGACAGCTAGATCAGGAGCAGAACCATAGAAATGAAGATCTCATGGAGGGTTAGCAACAGGGGAGTGGGAGAAGAAGGGGGAGAAGGTACAGAAATAAGTGGCATAGAGGATAGGTAGAAAATAGGAGGGAGGGCAAGAATAGTGTGGGAAATACAGAATCTAAAGAACTTGAGACACATGGTAATGAACTAAAGGGGGGATGGTGGGGGAGGGGTGTGCAGGGTGGAGGGGAATGAAGGGGGGAAATAGAGCAACTGTAATGTCATAATTAATAAAATATATTAAAAAACAGAAATAGACTCATAGAGAACAAACAGATAGCTGTTAGAGGGGAGGGGGGTTGTGGGGCTGGGTGAGAAAGGTAAAGAGATTAAGCCAAAATAATCATAATAATTGATAGACACAGGCAATAGAGGCAATATTACAGTGATTACCTGAGGAGAAGGGGGTGGAGAATGTAGAAGAGGGTAAAAAGGGAGATCCATAGTGACAGAAGGAGACTTGACTTGGGGTGGTGAACACACAATACAGTACACAGATGGTGTATTATAGTACTGTACAACTGAAACCTATATAATTTTATTAACCAATGTCATCCCAATGCATTCAACAGAAGATAAAAATAGATTTAAAAAGAAAGGAAGAAGAAAATTTCCATGAACCATAAATACTTCAGATAATCACCTCGAATGTCTTCTAATACTAAATGATGCTTGTGTTTTTGTAATTTTAAAAGACAGTATCGTGGAGTAATATTTAATGATAAAATAACTGTCAAGACAAATTTGTAAGAAGGAAAGTACTGTACCTTATATTAATTTTTAAAACCTCAGTATAGCCCTGGCTGGTGTAGCTCAGTGGATTGAGCACGGGCCTGCGAACCACACAATCATGGTTTGATTCCCAGTCAGGGCACATACCCGGGTTGCAGGCCGGTTCCCTGCAGGCCAGTTCCCAGCAGGGGATGCATGAAAGGCAACCATACATTGATGTTTCTCTCCCTCTCTCCTTCCCTTCCCCTCTAAAGATAAATAAATAAAATCTTTTAAAAAAAACCTCAGTATAAAATAAATAAATGTTTAATTTGCTTTTCTCTGGCTGAAATAAAATTAAGAGAACAAATTCAGAAAACAAGTAAGACAACAGTTTAGTCAAGTGTTAATGGAGCTGATGTTTTAATTAAAAAATCCCAGCATTACCTCAGCATACCCAGGGCTGGTATTGGTGTCGAATTTTGGAAAGAAAGGAATAGATGGAGTGAGTCTTTGAAGTGTTTTATAAATTCTTTGCAATAGCTAACCTCTGTCTTTCTATCCTTTGGCTTTGTAAGAACCCTTTGCTCTTACATTTTCATTTTTAAGTCCAATGTCATCTCTTTGATGGGAAAACACAGCTGCCTTCCTATAAATATGTACCAGTAGTTCTGCTCATAGTTCATACTCTTTTTATTCATGTCTCTTTATTTGTATAGTTCATATTCTGCTCCAAGGCTTCAGGCCAGTTTATTCTTCAACTTAGACCCAGGCTTCATCATCTTACCATTTTCCCCTAGAGGTTGGACCAATTTAGACCTCAGTTAAAGAAATACCTTCTGAGATCAGGCCAAAACTTTCTGGTTGTTGTCCCTAGTAAAGGCAACTGGGAAAAGTCAGGTAATCCAGGAGGGTCAGAAGCAAACCTTTACACATTTATTAAAAAGTGAAGGGGGCCTGGAGCTCAGTGGTAAGGCATGAGTGTTCACACAGAGTGCTCTGGGTCACCACCCCTCTAAGATGGGCTGCCCAGGACAGAATAGCCACAGCTCAGAATGTGTT